CCTTTTCTCCCGCCCTTTATCCTTCTTTCTCTCTTTCTTCACACACACACACACACACACACACACACACACACACACACACACACACACACAAGCCAACCCACAGGTCAGTTACTCGTTGAGATCTTTATGCGCTGATGGTGGCGAGTTTAGACGTTGACGACACCGGAAACACTATACCGTTACAACGCGAACAACATGGCTACCTACTCATAACCGCAAAGCATACTACTAACTCACAATGTTAGCAGGGCTCCTTGCCCAAGAACCAAGTTAACAAATACATACGACTGTTTGCGACTATCTGAGACCACGGGTATCTACGGGCACGAACAAGCACGGGTGTTTTCGGCGGTGTTTACGTGTGTCAATAGCAGCAGGGTACGGATGGCAGGCGAATTGGGCATCTCACAGGTCTTCGATGATCAGCGCTGCACGTGCGCCGCGACACTAATGCTTCGGCTCGGTGCCGATGGTGTTGGTTGCCGGTGGCGCCCCCGCCGCCGCCGTGATGGCCGTCTTGCACTTAATCGTGAGCAGACTTTGCTGCACGCTGAGCGTGGATTCCTTCAGCGGCGCGTTGACCTTGTCCTTGGCTAGCAGCGCCCCCTTGGTACGCTTCCACTTCATGCGCCTGTTCTGGAACCAGACTTTCACCTGAAACGGGAGGAATTCGGCGGGTCGTCAGCGCCATCCGACCAGCACGTCGGCGTAGATAAAAGTTAGAGTAGACTCTAGCCGTGATTCCCTAGTTGTGGAAATAGTAAATGTAGCGATATCAGAAATCCCTCGTTAAATATAAGATCAAGATAAACGCATGACACGTGTTTATACTAGTAGGTATATATATATTTATATATATATATATATATATATTATATATATATATATAGATATATATATATATATATATATATATATCAGGGGTAAATAATCTCAAAAGGATGCGACAATGTCTTGATGTTCAAGATATAATCATGGAGTCGCTACAAAGGTAACGTTTGTTTTCCTGTTCGTCTTCGTCTACGCTTCTCACTCGTCGTCTAGAATCAACAATGAAAAGTTCCGAACAAAACAACCTCGATCTAATTGCGTGTGTTAACGGCGCATGCGCGTCCGTGCATCACAGTGGCGCTACCTGTCGCTCAGTGAGATCGAGAGAGACGGCGATCTCGTATCGCCGCAGACGCGTCAGGTAGTTCTGACCCTGGAACTCATTCTCCAGCTGCTGAATCTGACTCTTGCTGAAGGCGGTTCGCTCCTTGCGCGGCTTGCTGTTCAGATCTAGGTGGTAGCCCTCGGCTGCCCTCTCCGCCTCCGCCAGAAACGCCCTGCTGACGGCGTCTGCAACATCGTCGGCGATGACGTCATTACGTGTCGCGTGAATAGATAGACAGGGCCGTAACTAGCGCGAGAGGGGCGGGGGCAATGGTGCAGTCCCCCCAGCGAAATGTACATACATTACATCAAGAGCTAATGACACCTATACTAATAAGATTACATTGTCAATGGCGGTCACCTTCCCAGAACACAAAACGAACGTAGCTTTTCCATTCCCCCAGGCAAAATGGATTAGCTACGCTCCTGGCGTATTGGAAAAAGAGTATCTGAACAATACATGGTTAATAATATAATATCTCTAGTTCTTGATCGTACTATATGCCATACATCTTGCCGCGTAATTATATTGTTGTTCGCTAAAACGCATCTGGACGAATGCTCGCAGTTATACTGCTGTACTGTTCGGTCTCGCTGGAGGGCGGGGGGCACCGGCAAGAACATCTAGCGCATATATTGTGTATATCCTATATATATATATATATATATATATATATATATATTCATTTTATATTCGTGGGAATTCCGCACTGTGTGAGTAAGGACGCTTATGTGTATGTGTAACTGTGTACGTGCGTGTCTGCATGGTCTACCATGTCGTTTTAGTCGTGTACTATTGTCATTTGGTACTTGAATAGAACAAAACCCCAATAACACCTAATTATTCTTGGCTCTTGATATTATAAGGTCACTCTGGTCTCGGAACCAGCGGACGAGATTATACGCCAAAGGAGATCTGGAGAAGATTGCACTTAGATGCACAGGCAGTTGGAGCGTCTCAATAAAGAAAAATAATGCTAAATAAACACGAAATATAAGTGTAAACGCGCGGTGTACGTGTGTGTAGAAGAGCATTTTGAACGGCATTTACAGGAAATTATCGGGAATAATATGCGAAAGAGAGTAGAGAAACATTCTGACTTTGGTAGTAAATAAATTTCGTGTTTCTTTAGCATTATTTGTCTTTATTGAGACGCTCTAAGTGCCTGTGCATCTAAGCGCAATCTTAGCGTGTGTTTTTTCTTTATTGAGATGCTCCAAGTGCCTGTGCTTAGATGCTGTGGTTTCGGCTTTCGATCGCGTTTGAACGCGATGAACCGCGCGAGTGCTAGAAGCAGCCTCGAAACACATTAGCACCTCGCGGTCGCACTTCTCGCCGCACGCACCTCGTTGAGTCTTATCAGCGAGCATCGGGTGGTATCCCGTCACGGCAGACGATCACCGATACAATGTAACAGCAAGCGACCGAGCAGCGAACGCAGCGCTGGCGATTGTGGAACAAAAAAAAATGAACGAGCGCGAATATTTCGGGACGCTGCCTCGGCTTTTTGCTAGCTTTCGTGACTGCAACTCTTCGTCTTCGTTTTCAAAATACGAAAGGGCAAAAATTACGCGCAAACATAAACATATCTTAAAGCTGTTTTTAAATAGTTAATGGATTTACGCGGGAGCGTCACGTGTTTGGCTACATCTACAACGAGACCGTGCACGGAAGCCGAATTTTCCCCGCATCTCGCGGCCGATATTAGAAGATACCTAAAGTCTGAGTCCTCGCAAAATATTATAAAATATAAAAAATATAAAAGCATGTGTATTAATTTTAACCGGTGGTACCTATACCACAGAACATTAGGCAGACGACGCTTGTGCCAATTAGCAGAGAATTTTGAAGAAGAAAAAAACATTATTTGTGTGTTCGTCGCACAAATCAGTGCGGTGACGTACATCACTGCATCACTGCCCTAGAATAAGGATCAATGGAATATGACATATTTTTGTGATACCATTCACTCTAAACGGGCCACAGTTATATCATTGTGCATTTATTGAGTCCGCTACGGTCAGGTTCTATTATGACACAGTAACAGCCGCATTTACTCAAGACGCAGTTGATGTAACTTGCATTACAGCGCGGATGAAATCGAGGCTATACGGTCACAAGCTCGCTCGCTCTAACACACACTCTCTCTCCATTCCTCTCCCTCTCACTCTCTGTCTCTTGCTCCCTCTCTCTGTCTCTCTCTTCCCCTCATATCCCCCTTCTCTGTCTCTATCTCTCACTTTCACACACACACACACGCGCGCGCGCGCGCACACGCGCACGCGCACACACACACACACACACACACACACACACACACACACACACACACACACACACTGTGACACACACACACACACACACACACAGTGATCCGTCACGGTCAGGGAGTCGAAATAAACATCGGCCTCTGTTTGGACACGT